TATATTTTGTAATTTATATATGTGCACGCAAGCACGGCTAAAAACGACTATACCCTTTTTAAGAAAAACATATTTGTCTAAAGGTCTTCATCGTCATCATTACGGCCCGTGACAATTCCACTGCTGTACAAAGGGGGAGGCCATTCAGGCCACGGGGAGTGCTCTGAGGAGTTGTTCAGATTAATTCCAACCGCAAAATTTCACGAACGGACATCGCGACAAAATCACCATCCTCACCATTTGGATGCTTGGCGGTCCACCACTGTGCGTTTTATTAAGAGTTTTCTTCCTCGTACAACTTCTTTGTGTAACTGTTTACCACCAGCGATTTTGCCGGACCGATACGACTTAGGGGCTTTCAAGAAAAGAGCTTACTCCTTTCTAAAAGGCCGATGACGCACCTGCGTTGCGGTTGTTCATGGGCGGCGCTAGTCACTTACTATCAAGTGAGCCGCAAGTTCGTTTGTTACCTTTTCTATAAAAAATGCATGTCATAAAGCACGATCCTGAGCTAACTGCATCCTTTGACTTTCTGTATGCCCAACTAGGTCAACATGTCAATACTTGTGCGATAATAGAATCAGTTAGTATTTCAATTTTCAACCAATGTCCATTGGACGACTGCGTGTCAAATTGTTAGTTTTCGACTCTTAAAGGATGATATTTTCCACGTCACTGTCTCGGGTAGCATAAGATGGTTAAATACTTCTATGTTAGTTGTATATTTATATTATATTATACAAATTATAGTCGATACCTTTTGGAAATGTTGGTGAACTCTTCTTTCTAATTGTAAGCTGTCAAAATGACAATTTCACCGAAAACCTTGAGGAGGTCTAAGAACATATAGAATGTGGCACATTACTTTAATTTTTCTGTAATAAAGTTACAGCCACTAGTGCATTTGGCGGACTTATCATGCCTTCGATTTTTCTTAATTTTTTAGATATACACTCACAATGCTTTTCTTCATCACCGAGCACACGGTAAACGAGGTGTGGTTATCTTTTAAGGCAAGAACGTATAGGCTTTTGCTAAGCGAAATCAGTGTGCTTTACTGTCTTCGGCTACACCACAACTAACAATCAAGTAGGACAGTAGTCAAGCAAAAATCTATTTTATAGATATTTACGAATACTAATATAATATAATAAAATCTTTACGAAACGAATGAAACTAAAAATTATAAAAAATCTTAATGTTAAACGTGGTAGAGCCATCCTGCGGTTATATTAGTAGTATAGTTGAAGCACGAATGGGTCGGCTCGACCGGGGAGGGACCACGCTCTCACAGAATACCAGCGTCAAATAGTAGCTTAATGCTGCTGTGTTTCGTATGGTGAGTGTAGCGAACCGGAGACCCTTTTTACTGGAAATGAGGCATTACACCTAAATCCTCACGGGTGACAACGCATCTGCATTTTGATTCGTAATCGAGGAAAGATGTAGATGTCTATGGTCCACAGTAACCACTTACCAGGTGGACTGTGTGCTTGTTTGTCACCCTATCGTATAAAAAATATTATAATAATATCATCAGGTGGATAATTTAGTTCGTACAATAATATTGACTCTTATTATTTAGACGAAAGATGTAAAGGTAAATTATATTGGAATGCCGAGCTTCGGGAACAATCTCGACGTGATACGACATGCAACTGGTCGTCGTAATAATATATTGATAGATTTAAGGTAACATAAATTTTTGTAACACGATATACGTGAATGATAAACATACGTAATAAAATGTAAAGAAAGTTAACATGTAAACACAATTAATGTGTTTCGAATATCCCCACTCGAGATACAACATATCTAAAAGGGAAAGGTGATTAAGTTGAAAGAGGGTAAGTAATTGGATTTCAGTGTTCCAACATAAAGTATACGGTTTCCATTTTTATTTTTTATTAATCGTCGTACACCTAGTTAGATCGACTTTCTTTTACTTCTCTTCTTTGATTATTTATTATACTTATATTAGTAAAAATACTGAATAAATAAATTATGTAATGATTTTTTTTGCTACGCTGTGTATTTTTAAAAGCTTTCAATTAACTGGCAATGTATGTTTGCTAGGGTCAAATCTTACAACAGAATTTTAAAGCTGTTATCTTCAACCGATTGAGCTCAAATTTTGCATAATATGTTTAGTTTGGATGACAATACCTACATGATTAGCTAAGTGATGCATTTCTAAATCCAATTTGGCGGACCGTCCAAGATGGCAGACTAGTTAATTTTGTGCACTCCAATGATATGGGTATTAAACGAAAGTTTGCTAAGAATACATATAATAAAATGACGTCACTCTAAATTCAATATGGTGGACTCACAAAAATGAAGTCAATGTATTTTTATTCACCTCCATAATATGGATATCAAATGAAAGGGTTTGCTGAGAAGAATACGAATAAAATGACTTCCGCGTTCAGCTCTTCGAGGAGGTGGTGTACTTCTGCCTGATTAAACGGTATACCTAAGACTCAGCGGGGTCTTAACTAATATCGACCTACACTATGGGAAAATTCAAGAGGTGATGATAAAAATATCAAAATGAGGGAAAACAAGATGTCCGCCAAACCAATTAATTTTAAAGAATTAAAACTAAAGGTTAGGGGTAGTTTGGTAGTGCTCGATCAAATGTTGTAGGGACCAACAAGTGGCGATAAAAAATTTTAAGATTGCGGATCTATCATGGCGATCAAAAACCAACAATGACGTATTAAATGAAATGAACAGACTTAGAAACATGTCCAGCGATAAACAAAAAGAAAAAGAAATTAATAGTAAAAATAAACCATTTTTAAAAATAAGCTTTTCTTTAAATGCTCTAAAAACAAGAAACTAAACTTTAAATTAAATCAAACCCATCAATTTATTACATTACACAATTTATATGATATAAAAGCTTGTCACGATATTTACCTGTGCACAGGATTACTATATGTAACTTTATGTATTAACATGAGAACTCTAAGAAAAAAATAATTGCTTTTTTAAATTTCAGATGATCATAATTTATTAAACTTAGAAATTAGCTTTAAGTAAAAAGTGAACACCTACTCTTAAAACTAAAAATTAAAATAGTTTTTGGTTAGATAAATAATAGGGGGTTTGAAGTCATGGCTAAGATAAAGTGTATAGAATTATTAAAGTCCCGACTTGTGAAGCTATCATGTAAAAATATTTTTTCCCTTTTATTTTGTTAAGTTGGTTTTTTCTTTCCAAAATAAATGTAAAATTTACACTTTTGAGTGGACTAAGCAAAATCACAAATTCAATGTAGCAACTAGAATGTTGTCTAGATATTACAAGAAACCCTTCCCTATTTTGCGGGGGTGAATTTATCCCCTTTATATTTAAATTGGACCATCAAGGTGAGCCATATAATAAAAAGAATAATTTAAATCGGTTCAATCGTTTCCTAGAAATCGGTGAACATATATCAAAAAAAACATACGTATACATCGAATATAAAACCTTACTTTAAAGCTAGCTTTCATAAAATTATTTTCGTCACATAAACACTAATTAATTTTCTAAAATATTCACGTTAACCTATTTTTTAAAGAAGCAAAAAATATATTTGGAATGCGCAACTCTAAAAGTATAAATGAACTCAGCTGAAGGCAAATACGTTGTAAATGCTATGCAATAAATCGGTTACAACATCAGCCCTAATCGAATACGTTTCTTTTTTTTTTTGGAACGGTGAAATAGTTATTTTACACGATCGCCGTAAAAACTCAGCTAGCTCCTCACATCGCAACACAAAACAGAGCTTTTGTTTAGTCAGAATTAGATCGATTGTCGTAGAGCTGCAACCTCCAGTACGCCGTCGCATGCTCCGCTGATAACTTCTATTGTTGTCTCTTTGTTGACATTAAGGTTTATTTAAGTGAAATTGGATAAATGGTCATCTCATAATTTTGCGCTGTTCAAACGCGCGTGGAGTGGCCTCAGTGCGGTGCACGTCTTGTGATGCTCGACGGTCCAGTACTCTAAAATAAAAATAAAATATCAGGAAGCAAGCTATGAAAGTAAAATTTCTTGCGTATAACAAAATGTGAAGGTGTCTTAGCCGTTTGGTGTGGGCTCTGTAGATATTGGTGCGCAGCGCATTGCAGACTATTGAAGTGTTGCTCTGTCTCGAGAAATGAATCTATCAAGATTCCTTTTAGTGCTGGCGTTGGTGTTCATCGATGGTGGCGAGTCTGGAGGTCACAAAGATCAACAGTAAGTCGTGAAAACTTATTTTGAACTATGTGATTGCGATTTGCTTGCGAATTTATATTTCTATTTATACTTGTAATTTTACTAATTGTGACAAAATTATGTATAGTTTTCTCAATAATTAAATTTTCTTCAGCAAATTATAAAACGTTATTTTTTATTTTAAGCACGTTAAGTAAATAAGTGTTAGTTTTTTTAAAACTTTGTAATGCGCATAAGAAAAATATGATTTTTCACATGAACGTTTATATTAAATAATTATAAAATATTTAATTTTTATCCTTTTTCGTTTATTTCACAGCGATCACGTCAAAGTGCACATACCAGAATTTATTCATCACGATCATCATACAAAAGTGATAACTATTCACCACCATCATCACAAGCCGAAGAAGGAACATCATCATCATCACCACCATCACCACCATCATCCAAAGCCACATATTCCGCATCACCACCACCACCACCATAAGACAACCCTAAAAACAACTACGGTGTCGAAGGGTCACAAGCATCATGGATACGGCCATCATGGACATCATGGTCATTACGGTCATCATGGTCACCACGGCCACCATGGCCACCATGGATATAATCACCACCATGATTCACCATCAATTAGTTACGATCCACATCCGGCTTCATTCGAAGATGACTTTAAGTCTTATACTCCATCGATACCTGCCAGCGTTCCTCATAGTCCTCATGTACACGGTGTTACGCATACGGTAAAGCAAGTAAAAGTATTTGATTCTCTACCAGGCACAATGCAAATAAACACAGGTGGTTCTGGCTCTTACGGTTATGAAGTAACTGAAGAAGGAGAAGGAGACGAAGACGCCTTCACTTCTATCAATACAATCCCACAAAGCTACCCTGCAACCTACGATTTTGTGAGAAGTGCTGCTCCACAACACACCGATTCTTACCCTGGTATTGCTCTTCAGAGCAGCGTTCAATCAAACCATGATCCTTTTGCAACCGTGCCACAACCTACCGATTTTTCCGCCTTAGAGAATTTCTCCAGTGATGGTCAAAGCGACGCCTTCGCGGTCTCTTTGCCCGAACAGGAAGTATTATCAAATGCTCATGCTCCACTTGGCTTCGCTTCAGGACACGTTAATCCTGAATCCGTATCTGACTACGACGATACAGAAAATACTTATGTTGGCAACGATATAAGCGGTACCGCTTTTCTTTCTACAGCTGAAGCTAATGACGATTCTCCTGTTTCTTTTTCTAGAGAAGCTGGTATTCAACAAACTACTAAAACTGGAGGTATTGAAACTATTGTATACTAAGCATTAGCTAAAGAAATTTTTGAATCCCCCTGACTTTCTTCGGAAAGATATACGATGCGATATTTGAGGGCGGGGGAACCTTCTTCGTATTTTTGTTGTGTTATTTTGTTATCAAGTGGTCACAAAAGATTGTAAGACTTTGATGCTATGTTTTAAGTATGATTAAAATGTTTTATGTTTCTGTTTGCCGCTACAATGATTATCTTTCCATCGTAGCAGTAAAGTTAAATATTTTTACATCTCTTCAACTACTTACTCGTTTTGCTAGCGATATCTGCTTGAACAGAAGGTTTCTTTTTAAATGTACTATGTAATATAACTCAGTCGTCATTTGAAAATAAAGAAATCTTTATAAATGGTGGAAAATGTGATAAATTTTGTACATTTTATTATTTTTTCTGATATTATATACGTATGTTTATTTATCATTTTATGTAAGTATGGGTAAAAAATTAAAAATATTGCCGTACATAAGATTAAGTTGTAAGTACTAATTGTAGAATTGGCTACTTAATTAAATTTTATCTTATTATAATAATAATAATAATAATAATAATAATAATAAACATCTATATATAAACATATTAGTTATTGTTATGTTTGTATTGTTGTGTTATGTTATGTTTGAATAAATGTTATTGTTTTTAATTTGTTTTTTATATGTCCTTTATCGGCAAACGTGGGACAAAAAACACAAGTATTATAATATTATTTGACTATGATCAATTTAAATTTTCACGTTAAGTGCATGTTAGCGTCCTTATGTTTAAAAAGTATATGAGATTCAATTTTATATAAGTTATAGATATGCATATAGATATACTCCACAACATATAAATATAACATGTGTTTTGAGATAAAAAATATTGAAAATGAATAAGGAGAAGGAAAAGGTCTAGAGTAGGAAAAATTGTATTGAATGACAAGACCGCGTTGCTGCGTAGAAAATTTGCGTCAGAAAATACTTATGTCAACGAACTGCACGCAATTCATTACACCCCAAAAAGTATACACCAATGCCGTGAACAATTGAACATGCCCTAGTTTTTCAGTTGCGTAACAGACAAAATAAACGGTCTCCAAGTCAACGTAACGGCTACATAATATTTGATTCGAAACAGAAAAAAATCGGTTGTCGAAAGTTACACAATTTAGTACATTTATTTCAACTATTGCTAATGAGAAAATAAGTACCACTGTATAATTATATCTTTTTTGTACGTCATTAGCATTACTATTAGTATAAAAAACCACGAACGTTGGGAGGAAAAATTTAATGTTATAACCACTTGCGATTATAGAAAGATATCGACAGCATAGAATTTTTATTTTATGAATTGCAATTCGAAGTGGTAATTTTACCACGTATTCTGCTATTAATAATTATTTATTTATTAGTTTACAAAAATATTGTTTAAATGATATGGTTTGAATCCGTAATATTCTACCGTTTCCGGTGTACATATATTTGATTACATTGTAAGAATATTATACTAATATCATAGATGTAGTATACATTACATTGGCGATGAAGTAATCAGGACGAGACCAAAATCAAAATGCACCAGCGTGCGTGAAACGTGTCTGGGAGACAAATAGTGCTGCACCATGCACTATCTGCCCCAACTAAAATTATCGATATCAATAGCAGTATATACGTATATTCTTATTTGTTGCAGATAATTTAAGTGAACATGCTTTATTTTAACGAAAGTAGGGTGACAACTCAATCTATTTTTTAATCCCTTCATCTATCATGTAGAAAGCCATGGAATGTAAATTACAGTTAATTTTGTTTAGTTTAGTTATTTTCGTTTTTTTAAGCTGCCTTGTTATAATATATTTTACTAAATACCCTTGGACTCAGACCGGGCACAGCCGCCGTCATGAGTGGATTACTGTATCGTTTGTTTACAGCGGCTCTTGATGAAAAATATCGATCGCTGTAGAAATACAAAATATTCCAAAAACCAAATTTGATACATAGGTACTTGACCAAGGTAATATATTATTTTTATAATCATAGATTTTTATTACAATATATAATATATTTCGCTAAAAATACGTAGGATTTATATATAAATATACGTCTTGGAGTTTATGGAGGGACCTGAAGGTGTACTTTGGTATCTGCTACTGGAAATCCTCGACGAATACAACTAGGTGTGCCGAGATTGTGCTCGTTATGTTAGTTATGATGAGACTTTACGGGACTTGATGGAGTGACCTGAATGTATAATTCGGTGAATGCAACTGCAATTCCCTGGAGAATAATAATAGTAATAGGTGTGCTGAGTTTGGGCTCATTTTGTTAGTTATGACGAGACTATGGAGTGTAGAAGGAAGGAGTACGTTATATAAGGGTGGCGCCACTATAGCTACGGGCTAAATATTAAAGAACGTGCCGAAAAATATTAGTGGGATAGACGACTTTTTCGAGGTTATATTTACTAAATAAAATTATTTTAGATTTTTTAGCTACTGAGCAGTTTAGCAGCACACATCAAACCGTCGACAACTGCTAAGTTCATTTCATCCCAGTAGCTACTCCAGCGTTGTTGTGGAGAGTTTTTGAACTGTTATTTACTGCTTACAGATGACACTTTTTCAACTTTTCTACTATGGGAGTTGGTACTCCTTACTTCTACACTCCATAGAAAAGACCGTATCTCCAGACAGTAGCGGATTATCCTTAAGGAAAACTAGGAACGTGGCGAGGGGCGAGAGCTTAAAAAGGGGCGCTCGCGGAAGTTTATAAACGTTTTATTAGTGAAAATTTGTGTGTATTTAAAATACTTTCAAAAATTGAATATGATATGAGGTGCTTAAGGTGCACATTTGAATTTACCAAAATTATATTTTATTACAGAGTTTTTATTAACTTTTTTGTCTTCTTCTTTTTGAACTAGTGGCTTAATTTTTAGCTATATAGCTTAGAATCGGATGACAATGTAAGAATATGAACCTGTTATATTTAATAATTATAATTTTTTTTTAATTTCGCTTGTTGCCCTCTAACACATGTCTTCAATTATCTCCTCAAAATGAAAGCTCGAATTTCATACGTGATAGAGCCATGCTGCGGTTACATTAGTAGTATCGTTGTAGCACGAATGACTCTCACAGAATACCAGCGTAAAATAGTAGCTCAATGCTGCTGTGTTTCGTATGGTGAGTGTAGTTAACCGGTGACCCTTTTTACTGGAAACGAGGCTTTCCATCTTAGTCCTCAGGATTAAAAACGCATCTGCATTTTGATTTGTAATCGAGGATAGTAGTAGATGTCTATGGGCCGCAGCAACCACTTACCATCAGGTGGACTGTGTGCTTGTTTGTCACCCTATCCTTTAAATAAATGCCAACTTCACGTCTGTATTTGAGTAACTGTATATTTTAACTACACCTTTTTTTTCTTATCAAGCCATTGCTTTACTGCTATCCCACCTTAGGTAGACGGATGTGATAAACCACACATACTTACATAGTTTAAAAAACCTATTTACTCGATAGAGTCGGTAGACTTTCCTTTTTTTAATTGACATGACAGACAATTAGCGGCGAAATGATTCCTTGTGTTTCATTTTTTTGAGGTAAGAAGCTTAAAAAACAAAAGATTATTAATTATTATACGTGTATTAGGTAAAAAACAAACTTATGTTTTTTTCTTGTACTATATGTAGTATATATTCAACTTCCAATCTGCGTCAAATTTTTGGCGATTTATAATCGTACCAGTTCAAAAATAACTTTGCGTATCTATAAATATATAGTCTTTATAATTTGTTGTATAAAGCCTTTATAATTTGTTCATGAGTAATATTGTAAATTTTTTGGGATATTTTCAGCAGACATTCAATAGCGATATTTTTTTTTAAATTAATAATTTGTGGATAAAATATTTTGAGGTTTATATCACTACTGGAGCATTTGGTTCATCTTTTTCCACTCTGAATGCGGTACATGACATTTAATATACATAATAATACTACGTGTACTAATCAAAATCCACTTAAACTACTATACAGTCTACCCTTAGCTAGGCGTAGAAGACAGGTGCAAAGTAGCCAGTCTTTCGATTTTCTACAGGGAGCATTTTAGAGAGTGTGCGCAGGAATTATACAACTTAATTCCCTCCCTCTCCATTTCACCATCGCACAACCAGACGCTCGGCCAGTTTTAACTCATTTGTTGTCGATATACCACGTCACATATACAGCAAAGGAGCGGAATAAGTTGCCAGCTTCTGTCTGACAACTGACCAGAGTGAATAGACCTTTGTTAAGTCAGCGCGCCACAGTATCTTCGGCGGCACCACAACTTATCATTGGATGGTATAGTAGTCAAGCACTAACTTAGAATAGTAAAAGGAAAAATAGTATGACTAACTTTCTTACAGTAGACCAGAATAATATAGCAGCTTGCTACTACTGTGTTTCGTATATTAAGTGAAGATAACGGAAAACCCTTTTCAGTGATGACGACGCACTCATTTGCTGAACTCATTTGTCAGCCTTAATCTATAAAAAAAAACTCTTTACAAAGTTGTTCGTACGCATAAGATGAACCAAATACGTAATATTAAAGTAGTTAAGTCACAGGAGTTTAGTTTTGTTTTAGTGATTTTAGGCATGATGTATAGATAAATCACTGAGCGAAGGTCAATTATTGACCATTAAGTATACCTGCAAAATAAAGCGACGTTGCCTCTCTTCAGGATAAGTATTATGCATTTTATGTTAAACATGCTGTTGCTTTTCGTTAAAAACAATATACTTTCTTTTTTAATTTTGCTTTCCATAATATTTGCCTTTTTAACTTTAAAACAAGAACAAAAATCATTATTTCAAAATACTTCATCAAGCTTAAAGTCAAAGATTAGGTAGTCACGATATGGTGCACAAACAACATCAAGGATCCGCCCGCTCAATCCAAACTAATTTTTGTACGAATTCCTAAAAGAAAATCAATGCATTTAATTTATTTTGATGTAACAGTGAGAACTTTTTATCTAAAGCATATATCAAAGGTAATGTTTTATCATATTCCTCCATATGTACAAATCTTATCCTAATTTTATATAAGTAACAGTTGTAAAGCACTGCTCCCCGTATCGGATGACTTCACTGATGGACTTCATGTGTAAATTTAGAAACTCAAATGTAGAGTAAAAATTTTTACAGATGGTAATGTAGGCAACTATAAGATTGTTAGGTTACCACCTAGATTAGTAGTAGTAGTAGTAGTAGTATTTTGTTTTATTGTCAAACAAAAGTAAAAAATAAAACACACGTTATTAAAAAAGTAACAAAAATTTATTTTATTAGTTAACAAATATTTTACACACACACACAACACACACACACACAACACACAAAAAACACACACACACGCACACACGCACACACGCACACACACACAATCTTGTTGTAGACACATATTATGAACTCACGCACGCAATATGCACATATATGCATGCATAATATATTCACGCGCACTCAAACACACATGCAAAAGCATAAAAAAATTCCTGTACAAAACATTCGTACCCACAACATTAATTATTTACAAGAGAAATTAAAAAAATAGAAGTCTAAAACCGAAAAATGGAAAGGTGGATATTTATAAGAAACTTGTTAACATAAATAATGATCAAAGGCGATCCAAAAATTAAAAGTTCAACTAACGATTTCGATTAAAGTGATTTATAACTATAACGTAGGAGGATAATCCCATCAGATAAACCTGTCGCCACGTATAGATGCCAGCGCGTTAAAACTATAAAAAATAACTTCCGAAAACGTTGAAAATATGAAAGAATAATTATTGAGCCAGTAAGAGTAATATATTTTGTAATGTTAATGTAGAAAACGTTAATAAAGACATATATTTTTTATTATCATTTAGTTATTTTAAGAGCCAGTAAAAATTAAGATTAACGAAATTATGTCGCTGAAAAATATTAAAAGGAATACTTGCTAGGGTATGCAAATACTAAGATCAAGGACAAATATTACTATTTACTATGTAGCGAATAAATTTTCAAGGAAAAATTTAAACATCGTTACCATATAGTCAATTTTAGATTAGCTTTACGAAATTTATGAAAGTGATTAACGAGAAATGCATATATAACATAAATTACATTTAAAACTCAATAATTTTTACGCAACTTTCGTCCTGGTACTGTATATTTTAAAATATACAGTACCAGGACGAAAGTTGAAAATCTTTTAAAAATAACTAAAGCACACATGTTAAGTATAGTTTTGGCATTACATTAGAATCAACGAACTATGCACCAAACTGTCATATAACAAAAAAAAAAAGAATATAGTGCGTTAAGGTGTCGTTTCTAATATACTAAAATATTGTCTTTGCTCCCCTAGGATTCAGAATCGCAGTGTTTTATCAATGTAAGCCTTAAATACAATTTGCACTAAAAGTTTACACTTTGCTCATATTGATATCAGTGACCATGATCACTGTATTCTGCACCAGCACTGGATAGACCATAGCTTCCATGATCTGCACCTTCAAAACTGACAGGCGTGTCTTCATATCCATGGCCCTCATCTGCGACACCCCATCCGTGGCCTGAAAGATTTAAATATTATTCTGTAAAAGATATCACAAAAAATATTTCAGAACTTTTCATAATTTCTATTAATGTTAAAGCTCTTTTATTAAATATCCTATTCAAATATTCATAACTTGCAAAAAGAAGAACTAGGATTTACATTTATGAGGTCAATACCCGAGTATTCGACAGTTTATTGTCTAACGAACATTATTCATTAAAGCCTCCTGAAAGCTTTATAAAAACTTTTAATACTGTATATTATATTTATTTTTCGAGCGTGTAGTGGCTGTGTAAGAATATCCACAACATAATTTCTTACCGATACTATAAGACTCGATAAAGTGAAACAAACCAGTAGATGTGCGCATCGTATTTCTCGTAACGAATAGAAAAGAAAACTGTGGTTTCCAATTCGCCTGCAAATCATGGTAAGTATGGGGACTATGGTTATGGGTTGTTCTTTTATTTATATAGGAAAAGGGTGACAAGCGAGCACACAGTCCACCTGATGGTAAGTGGTTGCTGTGGCCCATAAACATCTACATCTATCCTCGTTTGCGAATCAAAATGAAGATGCGTAGTCAGCCTTGAGGTCTAAGATGGAATGCCGGAGACCCTTTTTACTGGAAAAGTCCAGTAAAAAGGGTCTCCGGTTCTCTACACTCATCATACGAAACACAGCAGCATGAAGCTGCTATTTCACGCTGGTATTCTGTGAGTGCGTGGTCCTGCCCCGGTCGAGCCGACCCATTCGTGCTACAACTATACAATTAATATAGCTGCAACATGGCTCTACCACGTAAGTCTATATTCAGCTCTGGATTTTTATGGCCTGTAATGATGATGATAATGATATTTCTTATTATAGAAATAGTGATGATGAAAGTGGACAAAATATACCTGTAGTGTAGAATGTAGCTTATAATCTAATCGATTAAGCATCGAAATAGATATGCGTCGTCACTTCTGCGGATTAAGGTGGAATGCCGTTCTAATATTAATTCTATGAGAATACCCTTCACTAGAAAAACGGTCTCCGTTCCTTTTCGTTAAGCACACGGAAATCAGCAACATTGCTGCTTCTATAGGCTGGTATTTTGTGATACCTCTACATGTCCTGCCCCGGTCCAGTCACGTAACACGTGATAAAATTGATAACCATAATTTTCATCATGTATACGAACGAAATTATTTAGTATAGCAGTTAAACACGAAGATTAATAATAACGAGTTTGTTATTATAATATTATTAATCATATCTTCAAAAAACTGAAGTTCATGAGCCTGAGTTTGGAAAGTGCAAACTTCTTTAGATCACTTTAACTTCTAGTAAGTGCTTATAATCAAAAATGTACATAAAAGTGTGAGTATTTCCCACCTATTCACTATAATCAATGATTTTTAATATTCATTAATTGGAGTTTTTAAAAAACATAAATAAATCACGTCTTTCGTCACCGAAATCCATCACATATAATTAACTACAATCCTAGTCTCTGAATTAACACGGGCATTGTTTTTAATTTTTGACAGTCTTATAGAGCAGTCAGTCCACCGAGCTGCCTCAATAGCTGTTTTCGGACTACATACATTCTAGAAATATTTTTATTTTCCAGACATACAGGTTTTCCCAAACGCCTTGTTCTAAATTTGTTATCGACGATGGCTATCCGAGTACAGAACCAGAGCTCGAAAACTATCAACTGCAGAGAGGTGTAAGACAGGGTGACGTTATATCCCCGAAACTCTTCACCGCTGCATTGGAAGACGTTTTCAAGCTACTGGACTGGAAAGGATACGGTATTAACATCAATGACGAGTACATCACTCACCTTCGATTTGCCGACGATATAGTACTTATGGCAGAATCGCTGGAGAACTTAAGCACTATGCTCTATGACCTCAATAGTGCCTCCCAACGGATAGGTCTTATGATGAACATGGACAAAACAAAGATTATGTTTAATGTCCATGTCACACCTATGCCGGTAGTTCTTGGGAGCACTATGCTCGAAGTTGTTGACGAGTACGTTTACCTGGGACAAATAGTCCGACTAGGTAAGTCCAACTTCGACCGAGAGGTCAATCGACGGATTCAACTCCGCTCGGCAGCGTTCGGGAAATTACGACATATCTTCTCGTTAGGTATACCTCAATCTCTAAAAACTAGATTGTACAACCAGTGCGTGTTGCCAGTGATGACTTACGGATCTGAGACGTGGTCCTTCACTGCTGGCCGTATGACGACGCTCAAGGTCGCTCAGCGAGCTATGGAGAGGGCTATGCTCGGAGTTTCTCTGCGTGATAGACTCAGAAATGAGGATATCCGCAGTAAAACCAGAGTGACCGACATAGCCCAACGGATTAGTAAGCTGAAGTGGCAATGGGCCGGCCATATAGCTCGAAGAACCGATAACCGATGGGGAAGAAAGGTTCACGAGTGGCAGCCTCGTACTGGTAGGCGTAGTGTAGGGCGACCCCCCACTAGATGGAGTGACGACTTGGTAAGATATGCAGGAAGTCGATGGATGCAGGTGGCTCAGGACCGTGCTTGCATTACTTGGGGGAGGCCTATGTTCAGCAGTGGATTTGTGAAGGGTTGTAATGATGATATATATATATATATATATATATATATATATATATATATATATATATATATATATATATATATATATAATACTGTAACCAAATATTTTTCGACAAATAAACGTAACTCCACAAATAAAATATTTAATAGTCTCTAATAATTTAATTTTGGCCTTGTAAAAACACAAAGGAAACGAATTTTCCCAGAAATGAAACCTATTGTGCGACATATTACACTATAAACATATTGCTCGAATGATATAAGATACATCCCGGATAAAATCCGAAGTACGGTTACACCTAGTTTAGCCGGCTACAAGTAGATGCCGCCAATTGCGTTTAGTTACACATAGGTCTATTCGATTTATTAATGGCTAAAATTGGGTGTAACCGGTTACTTTCGAGTAAAACTAGGTGAGTATGGTAAAGTCTGAAAATTAATTAAATTGCTAGGTAATACGACTTCTATTATAGGGCTCCAAAAATTATTTGCCATCAAATATCATACTACATCAATATTCAGTAATTAGCATAGTTTAACTGTTTCAGAAATTTTTTATGTTTATTGTCCGGGCATTTAGAGTAAGAGTAAGAAACAAAAGATATAAGAGTAAGAGACGACATAGAGAATATTCAGAAGAACTTTTGGTTTCCAATAGATGTCTGTACCCATATAACCCAAGTAAAGTAGCCACAAAGGTGTGAGGTGTCTGGTATTGTTATCACGAATTCACCAGCAATGTGCGGCAATAAAGAACGAAAGACAGGCAGACAAAAAGAAATAAACGTTTATTGCAAAACGCCAGACACATTAATTAGGTACCTAAATTTTAATATTTATACACACTTCAATTAAAGGTATAACAAATTTAAAATAATACAACCTATTGACAGATACATTCATCAAAAGTATGTATAAATATGTATTCTTTTTAAAATACAGTCGTCATATGTATTTGACTCTTTAGGCAAACGGACCTCAATCAACTATGTTGTCACCGAAACAACAGTGCTGAGTGATTCCGATTAAGCAAATCTTTTCTCCAAAGAGATAGAACCATGTCCAGAAGTAAACTCTGCTGAAACAGGCTGCGTATGAAGAGGGAATATGTTTGCGGCTCGACCGGGGAAGGATCTGTGTTTCGTAGGGTGAGTGTAGAGAACCGGAGACCCTTTTTACTGGAAACGAGGCATTCCATCTTAGTCGTCACGGGTGACAACGCATCTGCATTTTGATTTGTAATTGAAGATATGTGTAGATGTCTATGGGTCACAGCAACCACTTACCATCAGATAGACTGTGTGCTCGTTTGTAACCCTATAAAAAAACTGTTAACTATTTCATAATGTACACTAACTTACCGCCTCCACCAAAATGAGGAGCAGCCTTCGGCTCACCATAAGTGTAGCCAAGCACTTCGTAGTGGTCGTCACCACCGCCACCGCTTTTGTGGTGTACATGTTTGACAATGGTGTGCTTGTGGTGGTGGTGCTTTACAAACAGTGGGACATGGATGATCACTTTCTTATGGCCCCCATCAGCTGCTGTTAATGACATCAGCTCAGCAACGCAAACGACCACCAACTGGATGTTCAAAAGACAAAACATTAATTAACCCTATTTAACAAAACGAAAATGAAGGTTTAGAAAGGTTTACGAGTGGAAGTCTCGTATAGACAACAAAATTTTAGGTAAATTAAGCGCAGTATAGAGCGGCCTCCCACTAGATTGAGTAAACGACTTGGTAAGAGATGTAAGAAGTCAATGGATGCGGATTATCCAGAACCATATTTTGTGGCATCCCTTGAGGAAGGCCCAATTTCAGCAGTGGTGTTATAATGGACTGTAAGGATGATAACGATTTAATGAAACTAAAAGTATTAACGAAGTTGTGGGTAGGGGAGTAATAATAACCTGTACGTAATCTGACAACAGGTAAACAAAGCGATATTTCCATTCTTGTTACTTATTTTAAAACAACGTTACTCCTACAGTAGAATTCTCTAATGTACCGTAGAGGTAGTTTACATACATGCATGTTTTTATTAATAATGATATTGTTCGTTGATTTATTATATATTTTTTTAGTTATGACTCAACCCTAAACTCTTATCTATATATTATGAGAAAGAAGCTTAGTACAACTAAAAATCGCATAGCAGTTACTAAACATATTTTGTTAATCAAAAAACACGTTACTATAACAACATTCGCTGACACGCATTTCACGAAGCAATAAAACATACATGTAAACAAGAAATAATAGATGATAGACTGCAAATTATATGACAATTGAACGGAATTCCACCAAATTATCCAACATTAATAAAAGTTCCGAAGTATCAAAAGAAATTGTCCCATTGTATCGCCATACGCTATCTTATGTATCAAAATTTATTAACCGTGTCCAAATTTATAGTTTTGTAACAGCAAAGTGATTCACTTTCAACTAAAAGAACTCAACAGCAACCAACCATGGTTTGCCTCTCACTATGCTATTTTATTTATATTATTTGTGACAATCTTAGTCGACAACGTTTTCTCGTTGCAGGTATAGGAATTTGCTTTTAAAAAAGTGCTGTTGATAAATACACTACGGAAATAGACTGGAAGACATTAAATTTCTGCAGTAATAACTGCGGATCAATGAAATGAATGAAAAATATTGCCATGTTTGCGTATAAGGTTTGTTAAATGTATTAAAATTAAATTGGATTTTGAATCACAATATTTTTTATCTACAAAACTTAATTTCGATATGAATTTTGATATGATGGATTTGACATTGGAAGGTCAGTAAGGGTATTATTATTTAACAATAATAAAAACGATCCAGCTTGACCAGTCGTTGTTGAGTGACGGTGTGAGAATATGCACTATCCCATACGATCCCGTGGGTGTCGTAAGAAGCCATTGCTAAACCCAAACATTCCTACTAAGTATGGTATCTATGGAAATACCTCCTATGAGACAATCTGTGATGGAGGCCTATGGTCGGCACTGGTCTTTCAATTGACTGTCATGGATGAATGAATGAAGAAGCCAGTATTTATTTTATGCTAAAAGCTAGAATTGTTTTTTTTTTGTTTTGTTATATTATTACAGTATATTATTTTTTTCAATACTTCCTCAACTAATTGCTTAACTTATTTATAGGTTAATAAGGATTTTTGGTTCAATGAACGTTTGCGAGATCAGATGTAATAAGACCACTAAATATTTAAGATGAAAGCTAAGTCTATTTTGAAAGCAATTGAAAAAAATATTTGAAGGCCGCTGCAAATGTTATTGCATCACTAATTGATTGACAAGTACTTACCAAAAGACGTACAGACATGGTGAAGAGTGAAGGTGGAGCGTTAGACCAAACGCGCTTACAGTTAGACGGTGTGTGATAAAGAAATTTAAACAAAACTTCCTTTTATATCGCAACGTGATCGCGTTTCGCGACACTGCCTCTTGGAGGCTTCGATATAACCACTACTGTCATCATTTAAACAAAATTAAACCTTGTAAACTTTTTAAATAAAGTTAAGACTATAATTTACAGTTTAGTTTACTCATGGTTTGTGAATGGCAATGAATTTTCAATTCTAAATTAAAATGTAACGACCTATAATGTTTTTTTACATTATAGGTCATTAAGAAGGTAGGAATAAAAAGTTTGTTATAAAGAAAATATTGTGAAGCGCGATAGTACAGAGTTGTTGATCACGTAGTTATATTTGTAGAGTAGTTAGTAAAGTCGGAGTGCTAAAAAACTTACAACTGTTGACTAGTGATAGAATTTTTTTGAGATAGACAGAGATAGACAAATAGTTCTTTACTGTGCTCATCATAACTCAAAATAAGATGCTAAAAGAATGTTAAAAGGAAGTGAGAACATTAGGCGATCTTATCGCTAAAAGTGATTTCTTTGAGACAACCTTTTACTTATTGGTTTAAATTTTAACTGACAATAATCAAGGTTCAAATAACCTCATTATATTGCTTCTGCGAGAAGTCTAAATTTGGCGATGTACTAGCAGCGTAAGAGAATCCACTATCCCTGGTTATGTTATATCACAAGCGACGTAGACTCAGCAGCATCTTCTATTTAAGAGCAAAAAACAAAAAAAAAACTGCGGTTGCCACCCAGTTTCCAAGTGTGGTAACTATGGCAAATATCTCGTCTATTAGTAATCTATAGGAAATGCCTAAATGATGATTAGCAGTGAACTTTTGATAGGCTGAAATTAATTTATTAAGGAATGGTTTCTATTGCACGCCTCATAAGCGAAGCCTTGAGGTTGTGCTCTACTCTCACCTAATGGAAATCCAGTAATTTTCTGAGCTAAAAATGTCTTTATTCTTTTACTATTGCACTTTTAGAATAATAAAAATACACATATATCTAGAAAGATCACTCGTTTTCAGGTTTTTATTATTTTTAAAAGTAAATTTCTGTATTTAGTGTAAAAAACTGATTGAAAAAAAAATCGAGGATGTTAAATAATGTATCAAAATAATTCATTTTTATTAGGTTTAGAATCTCAAAGCACACGATCCTTTTAAAAATCACTGAGTAATTTGGTCTCGCTTAATTGTAGTTGATATGATATTGAGATTATGAGGCCTGCACTTTTGGATTTTCCAAACTTTTTAAAATTTCTACTAATTAAAGGTAGATAAGATAACGCGGAAATAAAAATTGGTGCAACTCGGGAGATCCATAACTTTCCACTACAAAAACCTGGTAGTAAGTGAAAAAAAATTGAAACCAAGAAATATGAAATAGGAAAAAACAAATACCATTAAAGTTTTATATATATTAAAAGAAATTCTACCATTTTCAGAACCTGCATGATACAGTACAGATATTTGAAGTATAAAAGAGTGGTTAGATTGTCAGTTTTCAAAAATTGATTCATAAAAAATTGCTGAATCGATTTTGATAAAAATTATATCATTGTGGATCGAATTAAATACATCCGTCGTAAACGTCATTATTTATTCTTGAGATATGCGCGGCGAAAATTCATCAAATGCCAATAGCATCCGGCTTTAAATACATTGAAACGTGAAAATATATCAAATTCATAGCCGCGCTGGCGAATTTTACGTGTTTAATAATTGTTTAAAATATTTTGTTCTTTAGAGGACGTTCTCGCGAGGGCGTGATAATTGTGTAGGTACTTAAAAATGACAGTTACATTTAAATGGTACCTAAAATGACTGTACTCGGGGATCGCTTGCGTATATTGCGAAGTTTACAGTAAATACTTAGTCCCTGAGATATTATCGTTCCAACTCTAGTATTAGTAGCAAGGATAAGTTTATGTTTTAGATGTCACCCATTTAATGCATATTTAAATTTATTATACGTACAGCGTACGTACAGCGTACAACCTCTGTCGTGTGTCGTGCCTAAAATTTGAAATACAATGAGTTAACTGTCAATGTAAAACATGCCTGATGGACGTGGAAACCGCGACAGCGCAATCAGTCAATTACGTTCCAATACTCATTTGACATCTATGTATACAAAGTTATGAAGTACTAGAAACTAGAATCAATTGATCTGAACTCGGTGATGTGAATATTGACACAGCCCACCACATCCGTATATATTCACTAAGTTAATTTAACGAACTGATTAAGATAAAGATTTAAAAGCCTAACGCCTCAAACGTACCATTTAAAACGTAATGAGGTACTTAACTTAATACGTAATGAGTTGCCAAAGTCAAAAATCAAAAATTCATTGTTAAAATTTTGTTGCAGCTACTAGTGTTGTTGCTAAAGGTGACAAGCGAGTGAACTTTTTTCTAATGAATATTTCTTTGAATATTTATCATCAAAGGTTTCACCACCAGTTATCACTAAATTGGATTGTAGTTAAGCACTTTCTTAGCTGAAGTGAAAAAATCATACTCAGGTGCATTGTTACACTTGATGACTAAGATGGAATGAGTCGTTTACAGGAAAAAGGGATTTCTGGTTCTCGTTGGTAAACATTCATACACAAAATATGACTGAACGCGAACATTGCTATTTTACCTCAGGAAGTAAAAACTTAATGGTAATATATCGTTATGCATAAAACATATATAAAGGGTATTATATAAAGGATATTATATAAAGGATATTTGATTGATTTGAGCCACATAGATTACGAACATAATCCAAGTTTAGTACTAAATATTTCTTTTGTAGGATAACGGTCAGCGCACAATCTACCTGAGGGTAGGTGGTTGCTGTGGCCCATAGACATCTATCTACATTTATTCTTGTTTGCGAATCAAAATGCAGATACGTTGTCAGCCGCGAGGACTAAGATCGAATGCCTCTTTTCCAGTTAAAAGGGTATACGGTTCTCTACACTCACCATACGAAACACAGCAGCATTAAGCTACTATTTCCCGTTGGTATTCTGTGAGAGCGTGGTCCTTCCCCGGTCGAACCGGCCCATTCGTGCTACAACTATACAATTAATATAGCTGCAACATGGCTCTACCACGTATAAAAATATATAAAATATGTTTCACAGTAATATTTAGCATTTGATTTGCAAACGA